GGAGTTCTACTATACTACAAAACCTTTTGAGTGCTAATAAAACCTTTACAATAGTTAAACTTCCTATGTGAAAACCTTTAACCAGGTAGATTTATAGGTGTTATCCCAACCTTTTAGTGTTCAATCCTAGAATGCTCAACAACTATAAATTAGAAACCACTAGTTGATCAATCACAGTAAGTAAAATAAGACAATAAACAAATATAGCACAAAGTAATGCTTTTACTGGGCAGATATGCAAATACATAACAGACTATTCAAATGCAAGAATGAACACAAATAAATATGTGCTATTGCACTTAAAAAGACTAAAGATTCTTGGAGAGAATTAATAAAGGACAAATAGATTTCTTATGATTTTCTCCAAGGATAAAACTTTTTTAGCTTAGAATTTCTTCATTCTAGGAGTTCTTTTGCTATAACCCTCTTTTTCACTTTTAACAATTTGGTAGAATTCACTTGAATTTTTCAACTCAAACTCATGTATATATAGCACCAATTAAGCTTAGAGAGCTTGTGAACATTATAGAATTGTTGGGAAGGATCAAACCATTCATGGAAGTGTTTAGAATTTGCTTCCGACATTGTTGAACACTTGCCAAAAGAGGAAAGAATATTTGAGCCTTTAAACGGTCAAAAATTTTTTTTTTCTTCATGAAATAGTTGACTAGTACGAGCAAATAGTCTACTATTTAAATTCTTTTAGAAGTAGGTGGTTGACTATCAGGTTCAAGTAGTCAACTACTACTCACAAGTGAGAATCTTTTCTCTCTTGGTAGTCGACTACTTGACACAAGTTATTCTCAGCTGATAGACATAGTCCAATATCCTCATTTCATTAACCAACTATTGACCAAAGTCAATGTACCAAGCTCGAATATCATAAGTAATCGACTATTGCCTTATGGGCAGTCAACTACTAATTATGACCCCTGGAGTTTGGGAGTCAACTTCTTAAACCTCATCACTTAAAGTTTTGACAGTCAAGCCTAGTGTAGAGTATGGGGAAGACTAACCAGTTTTTTATCTTAACCATTGGCCTCTATGATTTTTGTAGTAGTGAGGTAGGTCTAAATTAAGTCCATTGTTGTGCATCTTGCAAATGATTACATCAAGATCCTAAAAGATTAAACAATTATAAGATTTTAGAGTTTAATGTCATCTTCTTCTTTTTGGTCATGATAGCACAATTTCTTGCTTGGCGAGTGCTTTGTCCATCATTTGATATAGTTGTTTCTTTGTATTTTCAAATAATCAATTTTTTTCATCAAGTCTTTCAAGTTCATCTGAGAAATCATATGATATAGTTGTACACTTGTGTCATAGAACATTAGTATAGGAGTTTTACCTACCGTTTCGAATAGCTCATAAAGAACTATGTTTTGGAGTCAAATTTCGGCAAAAAGTGTTAGTAGAGGGCCAATTTCCGATGACCTAATTTTAGATGACCTCCGATCTATTATAATCTACAATTTAACATAATTCATAATCTACAAATTCAAATGCTACAAGATTGGATGTATAGGGATCTTAATGGTCTGGGGTTCTTATTATAATCATTTTCCTTGCCAGAAAGTGGCTGAAAAATGGATATTTGGCAAAAGAAACCCTAATTCTTGATTTAAAACTAATCTCAACATGCAAGAAGAAAAAAAGCATAGTGATTTAAAGAATTAAATAACTTACCTAAATTTATTTGAACAAAAATCTCAATTCAAATCAACCTCTTTTAAGTCTCCAATACTTAACTTCCTCATTCTTCTAATAAAAAGTAGAAAAGGGCTCTTAAATTTGAAAGAAGAAAGGAAAAAAAGGTTTCCTAAGTTCAAGACTAGACATTTAGGTTCAGTCTATGTTTTCTTTTATTTTTTGCTAAAATGTCCCTCCATGGTGGGAAAATTATATGGTAACCCCGAAAGCTCAATTTTTTTTAACCTAATCGACATTTCAATTAGGTCATTTTCATGAACCGAATAAAATCGAATTAGACTTGAAACCGAATCAAATTTAAATCGGTTCGCTTTACTTTTAATTCGATTAATTTGGTTAGCTAAAATATAAATGTATTTTATATTTATATTAATAATTATTATTAAAATATATCAATATTTAAAATTAAAATACATATTATATATTATTAGTAATCTAAATAGTAATGTCAATATATATTAATGTTATTACCAATATGAATATTTATAATTAAATATGAATATATATGTATTGTATTTTGGTTTGGTTCGGTTGAATTTTTTTCTCAAATCAACCAACAACTAAAAATTGAAATTTCTAAAATCTCAAATCAACCAACTTATTCGGTTCGGTTCGATCTGATTTTTGGTTTTATAATCGAATTTGAATACCCCTAGTTGAGAGAACACAGTACAACCATTTGATTGATAGTATATTATTATTATTATTATTATACTTGATGGGACTAAATAATGGTGACAGAATAGGTAAATCTCAACACTTGCCCAAAAGTGTAAGAGTTTTAGATATTTTTAGCCTGTTAGGCTCCACCCTACGGGTCAAGCTATAACTTTGGTGGGGCTCGGGCTTAGGTAGGTTTTATGGTTTTTAAAACCAAACCAGTTAGGGGTTTGGTTATTGGTTCAAAAGGTTCGACCATTTGATCAAAAAAATCAGCCCGTTTTGACAAAAAAATTAAAAAATTAAAAAATAGTCAAAACAGTTAGAACGATTAATCGACTAGTTTAACAGTTTGCTGACCAAAATCAATGATTTTGGAAAAAAAAACAGTTTTTGGAGAAAATAAAACTGGTCAGGTCCCAGTTTTTCCGGTCCGATCCGGTTTTAAAAACCATGGTAGGTTCACATGTAGGTTTGGGCCTGATTTGGCCCTGAGCCTGACCTAGCCCAACCAAGTTGCCGACTTGCAGCCCTTATTGTTGACATGACGTAAAATGGTATAGAACATAACGTCGTTATATTCAGGCGTGTGTCTCAAATCTCAGTTTGGAGGAGTACAAATATAAATATATATAAAGTACAAAATCTTGTATTTTATATTATTTTATATGTATTTACAATGTATATATTTATATTTATATTTTCAAATTGAACCTAAAATTCAAACGCTTCCGTGCAACTGTGCAAGCGACAAGAAATTCGCATGCACGCCTCACGGTTACCCAGAGGTGCCAGTGGGGCGCCTATGTGTGAACTCAGAAAAAAGAGAGGATAAATTAGAAAGATCCCTCTGAGGTCAGTGACAAAACCCTCCACACTTAATTTGCAATAAAGACTCCTCTGAATTTAGTCGTTATTGACCGTTAATTCCGATGACGGAAAGCATTAAATTACCAACATATCTCACTAACCTTAACCTTACTTTATTTTTCTTTTTCTGCCATTCTCTCGTAAAACCTAACTGACCGAAAAATCTCTTCATTACTTCTCACCGGTGCATTTAAAAGATTATTCCTTTAAGAAACAATAAAGCGAAACTAAGAAATACATATAAAAAAACAAAGTTCAGTAGTTCGTTTTCCCCCTTTTGTCAGAACCTGAAGGCTGCCCCAAATGGAGTTGAGTCGGACTTACCCTTTTATGATACTTACGAGGACTATGATCTGAACATTCTCTCCGATGAATTTGGGAATTGCTACTGCGAGAATATCTGAACCTTTCTGCTCTTCAAGTCTACCAATAAAGCCTATTATAGGGATATTTTGGTCCACAGGCAACCCGACTTCTGCTTGAAGTGCTTTCTTTAGAAGAAGCTTTGCATTCATAACCTGGAAATGGCAATTTCAGAATTCAGCATATCATCAGTCCCTGCAACAAGAAACTGTCAAATAAATGGGAGAGGGGGTGGTTTGAAGTTCCTTACAGTTGTAGCATCATATTTAGCATTGATATATTTGTCTATGGTTGGGAGAGGGGGTTTAAACTCATCGCCTTGTTCCTGAACATCTGTGCCATTCACAATACCAATAATGCTAGTCTCCGGAATTATGTCATCGCCATGGCAAAGTCCTGGCGGAACAAGGCGCTATCGGTTGTGCAGGCATGAACCCATCATCTGGTTCCATCACCAGTCATCAGTTGCTGATTGGCGTGAAGGATCCCCCTCCTCTGCACCAGGGTCTTGTTGTATATTGTTCCGAATCATTGTCCTGTTCCTTCATACAGAAGCTTTGCTCTTCTCGCTGTTATGACAGCTGCCCCACCATTGTTGATCTCTACTTCAATCTGGTTGCTGGAGAAGGCAAAGAACTAAAGATAACATGTTTAATACTGTAAATTTTGAAATATCTAATCAACTACTTTTAAGTTTTAAGCCCATGGCCCATACTCCACATTTAACTCAAAGTTGACTGTGAAATCCTTCTGAACGTAGTTGATGGGATCAAGTGATCATAGTTACATGATCAATCAGCTTCTGTTCAATAATTTAAGTTAAATGTGTATGGATTTTCCATGAAAATTTAATTCAGAACTTATTTCTGGTTGACAGGTGTTTTTCTTCCTAAATGCGAAGCCCAAGGAGCAAATGTTTGTCGATAGATGTCAGACATCCAAATCTCCGGTCTTGTTGCACCGGCATTGGAGTTGGGCCTGTCTATGAATTCCGTCATGGCACCTGCAATGGCACCGACAACCAACTTGACTATGGATCATGTCGTTGCATTTTAATCGGGAGATGTCGGAGATCTGAAGCTCCGGCATTGTTGCATCGGCATTGGAGTCGGGCCCGTTTATGAATTCCGTCATGGCACTTGAACGAAACAATCGTGAAAGATGATTCGTAATATGGCCAATGCAACGTAGAGAAGAAAAAGGATAGTTTGGACATTTAGAAAACTTTAAATAATCAGATAAACATCTGTTTTCGAAATTAACTGTAGAACGCTAACGGAGGGAAGTCTTTGTCTAACGGCTAAAGTTTAGAGGTCTTTGTCGCAAATTAAAGTATAGGTCTTTGTGACTCACCTATAGTACAAGGGGTCTTTTTAATTTACCCAAAAAGAGAATAGCATAGAACCGGAGAAAGCTATTCTTCTGCTGCATTTGCACAGAATCTCTTGCTTTTCTGTTCTTTCCTTATGAAAACCCTATTTCTGTTTGATATCTAGCACTGTTTCTGTCCGAGACCTTTCGTCAGAAACTCTGATCCCATAATTCGGTTCTCCGGTCGCAATGGACTCCGACGAAGATGAGAGGATTCCTTTCAGCCAGAGAGCGGAATGGTCGGATGTGAAGCCAGTCTCGCAGGACGACGGTCCGAACCCGGTCGTGCCCATAGCGTACACTGACGACTTTAGGGAAACCATGGACTACTTTCGAGCCGTCTATCAATCTGACGAGAGGACCCATCGGTCGCTAGCTCTCACTGAGGAAGCCATCGACATGAACGCAGGGAATTACACGGTAATGCTTATATCTCGATTTCATATCACAAGAGAGAAGAAAAGAATTAAAATTTTCCGTGTGGGTTGTGATTGAATGCCTTCTGCTTTGGTTGTAAGCTCATCGAGTCGATTATGGGCTTGGCCAAGTTGAAACTGGACTTGTCTCTGCCAACTTTTTGCTGTTTTAGTTCATACACGAATGGAAATTAACAGTTCTAAATTCATTGAATGCTTTAACTCAGAACAGAGTTTCATTATTTTGATGTGGTTTTATCTGGGTCCTACGTAAATTGTACTTTTGACGGTCAGATGCTACTCAAGTGGTTTGGTAAAGACTAAAGACCATGAGTGTTGATACCACCTATCTTGGAGAGCTTGTCTTTATCCAGTAACCTACTCTACACTTCTAGTTTCATACCTGCCTTCGGGAAAAGCAATGAGCTAATAAGGTTATCACAATCTCCATTAACTCGAACCTAGAGCAAGCAAAAAGACCATGCTATAGTAAAAAGTAATGATAGTATATATCTTTTGGAACTAGGATTATAAATTTATTGGCGTTTTAGTTTGACTCTTAGCATGTTTTAACTTTTAACTTTTAATCCAAAACAAATTACATTGGAGATGTATATATCTTTTGGATTCGGTAGTAATTATGTCAAGCTGGATCATTATATGATTGGAATGAATATTATATTCCCACTCAAGAATCCGCAGGAGTTAATCTAGATGATAGTAAATTGGGGTAAATTCACCTAGTGGCCCATCTAGGTCTTCTGGTAAAAATTCTAGTGGCCCATAAAATCATCCAGTTTGGATGTCTAGGATGTAATGTTTCTGGATATCTAATAAACCAAGAGTGCTTGAATTGAAGATTCTAGACTAATGAGAACTTAAACCATTCATTACAATAGTCCTAATAATTGTAACGTTGAAGCAGTTCCTGTTTGATATTTGAACTTCTAAGGAAGGTTGATTTTTTTAGGGTAATAAACAATGAAAATTTTATTATTGTTAGAACTGTTAATATCTTATGTAGTATGTGCCACAGGGGCACTATTGTCTTTTTACTCTTTTTTATTATGTCACCCTATATATAATAATTAGAACTGGCGCCGCCAGCATACTTTTGGACTCTAATATTTCTCTTCTCTTCTCCTCTGTTTCTTCTCTCCCTTCTCTGTTTTTCTCCCTTGTCTCTTCGGTGGGTTTTTAACCCCTGTTTGTGGATCGTGTGATCTTTGTGACTGAGTATGAGATCTGTAGGTCATGTATGGTCTGTTTTTGATGTGACAGCACTAGTTGTATTGTCTCCTGGTGGTTGTGGTGATTAAGTGGGGGGGGGGGGGCAAATAGTGCTGTTTGTGTCTAGACTCTAGACTGTAGAGTGGTTTATGTGGACTGCAATTCTAGTGTTCCTAGGGCTAACCTGTGTCAGAAGTGATCCTTTTGTGCTTCCATCAGCTGTATTTAGAGCTGAGCAATGATCTTGATTATGTTCTCTGAAGATTCTGCATCTTTTGGTGTTTCCGCTAGTCAAAACATACTGACTGGGGGGCTGGATATAAATTTCCTTATGGCTGTAGTTCCCTTTGATGGGCTTAACTACCTTGATTCTTCTAAGGGAATTAAGCTCCACATTACTGCAAGAGGGAATATAGGTTATATCAATGGTAAAGCGAAGGAGCCAAAGTTTGGAAGTGCTGAACATGATAGATGGGATCAAGAGAATAGTATGGTGATGTTGTGGCTCTTAGTCTCTATGCTGCCATAGGTGAGAAAGACTTTCATGTGGGCTGAAACGACTTATGAAATATGGGAATAGACAAAATCTACCTTTTTAGAGCAGAGACACTATGCAAATATAATACCAATTGCAAGCTGAATCATCCACTTATAAGTAGGGGGAGAGGAGTCTCTCAGTATATTACTCAGATTTGACGTCAATTCCGAATGAGTTGGATCATTATGAAAGTGTGGATTGGAAATGTGATGAAGATGCAAAAGCCTACAAGTCCCTTGTTTCCCAACAAGTATTTGCTTTCCTCTTGGGGCTGAATCCTATGTATGAGTGTATCAGGGTGCAAATTTAGTGTAGTCTAAAAAGAGTAGAAGATGTGATGAATTGTTCAGGGGGGAGCCAGTTGCCTTGGTAGTCAGAGGGGGTACAAATGGAAATGGAGGGAGTTTTTTTAAGAAGGGTAACTTCCAAAAGAGGGTGGATGACAAAGACAAACTTTGGTGTAGTCATTGTTAGCGGTCTGGGCACACTGGAGACACATGTTGGGATCTCCATTGGAAGCCTAAGTGGGCTCAAAAGTTAAGTAAAAATCAGCATCAGATTAGACAATGCTAGAGAATATTTTGAGAAGGATTTGGCTACATATTTTTTGGAGCATGGGGTGATTCATCAGAATAGTTGTGCTTATACACCGTAGCAGAATGGGGTGGCAGAGAGGAAAAATACACATTGTGGAGGTGGCGAGAAGTCTTATGATGTGCCTGTTTAAGGTGCCATTCCATATTTTTCCAGATGGTGAGATATTTCATATGCCTTTGAGAGTTTTTGGGTGTGTCTATTTTGTTTGCATTCTTGGTCCTCATCATAGGAAGTTAGATCCTAAGGTCAAGAAGTGTGTTTCTCTTGGGTATGCTCAAAACCATAATGGGTATTGTTATTATGATCCAGTGTTGGGGAACGGGTTTGTCAATATGGATATTACCTTTTTTGAGTTTACATTCTTTTTCTTTGGTGACTCTCCTCAGGGGAGTGTTTTGGGGAGGAGAGCTCACAGCTTGTTCCTCTTCTTGTTCCTTCATCTGGTCCATTAGCTCCACCATTAGCTCCAGTCTCACTGCCTGATCCACTATGGCTTGCCTCATAGTTCTTTCAGCGCCAACGCAAGAGGGTTGACTCCACACATGCTTTAGTGGAAGAACCTGCACCAATCTCTGCCATTCCATCCATGATTCTAGGTTCGATTGATACAATTCTAGGTATTTCTCTTGCACCTGTTGTTGCCTTTGATCCCATTGATAACATTTTTGTACTTAACACTAATGTTACAACTGATCTTGATTTTCCTATTGCACTCTACAAGGGAAAGAGAAAGTGTACAACCCATTGCATTTCACACCATCTTTTCTACGGTGCCATATCACCTTCTTATCATGCCTTCCTTTCCTAGATTCTGTGTCTATACCCAGGAATGTTAGTAAAACCCTCTCTCCAAACTTGAGTAGAGAACAACTATGATAAAAGAAATGGAGGCTTTGATTAAGAACTAGACACGGGAGAAAGTTGATCCTCTAGCCAAAAAGGAGACAGCTGGATGTAGATGGGTGTTCACTGTGAAGTACAGGGCAGACAACAACATAAAGAGGTACAAGACATGGTTGGTTGCAAAAGGGTATACATAGACCTATGGTATAGATTATCTGGAGACCTTTGCACTAGTAGCTAAGATGAGCTCAGTTTGGATCTTCTTGTTTCTAACAACTACTTATTCATGGCCGCTTTTCCAGCTTGATGTTAAAAATGCATTTGTTTAATGGTTATTTGTAGGAGGAGGTATATATAGACCTTTCAACCGGTTTCTATGAGAATGTTGGTGAGGGAAAAGCTTGTAGGATAAAAAAGTCATTATATGGTTTGAAACAGTCACCTAAGGCATAGTTTGACAGGTTTAGGGGGGCATTGGTCCGTTTTGGATGAACACAAACCTAATTAGATCAACTCTCTTTGTGAAGAGAGAAGCACTTGTGTCATTATTGATTGTGTATGTGGATGATATAATTGTTATAGAGAATGATCTAAGGGAAATTAATGCACTCAAGAAGTCACTATAACAGGAATTTGAGATTAAGGATCTAGGTGAATTAAAATAATTTTTGGGGATTGAGGTTGCAAGATCCAAGCATGGGATATTTAATTCTTAGAGGAAGTATGTATTGGACCTACTGTAGGAAACTGGGAAGTTAGGAGTTAAACCAACTGATACTCCTATTGACCTGAACCACAGGATTAATGCTTTGGATAGTGTGTTGGTTAAGGATGTTGGGAGTGTTAGACAATGTATGCCCTTAGCTCCAATCAGAATGATGTACATTATGACATTTAATGTAAATGAATAAAGTACATATTTGATTCATGTTATTATGGT